TATATTGCTAGCCTTATTTGCTTTATGCTTATCTTGACAGGCACTTAGGTCAAAAGAATCTCCTGATCTGTAAACGTTTTGAAAATACATAAAACATTATTTCTGCTAGTAAACTTGGAGTTTGTCTGAAATGGATTTGAACTGTGTGATTTTCTTTTCTATTTCTCTTTTTATTCTCTGTAGCACCACTGCCAAAGTATTGCATTTGTTTGATAAACAGTTCATGAAATATCATAGCTTTTATGAAACACTAACATTAAAATTCTAATAACTTGATGTGTATAAAATCCTAGAGCAATATATTTTCAGAAAAGGTATTTTTTAAAGACAAGAACTGCAACAATATTATGATTCGTGTTGAACACAGCAAGTCAACAATGATTAGAGACAGGAGGAGAGACATACACAGTCCTTCACTGGAACAAGAGCTGTAAATATTTTAGCCAAGTTACAATAGGTAACGTAGTTCACAGCTGAATTGTGTTGTGTGATTAGTTGGTCAAATCTCATAAGGTCATCCGCATCAGTACTTGAACCAGATATTTTCAGGCTGTGGGAAGCTGACAGGGTGTTCTCACTGCTCCTGGACTTTGCTGCTGTCGCACTCTCCAAAGCTACACAGGCCATTTTGGAGGGCCAGAGCGTGACTGATTCGCGTTAGGCCAACAAAACCAGGGATCACTGTGAGAGTTCAGCCAAAACTATTTGTACAAAAGCTGAAGTTACATGTCCAAGATAGAGTCATTCCTTCCTTCTCAGTAACTGTTCTGATGTCATTTGCTTGTTTTGATGTTTTTTTTTTTTTAAATCTCTGTTTATGCAGCACACATATGTTCAATGGCCACAGTTCCATAAAGAGAGATAGGGAAAAGGAATGTAATCCTTGGACCATCATTTTTCAATATTTATTAAACTGCTTCAAGTTTTTTAGAAAATTTAAATAAATATAAACAGGAGTGCAGAATATAAATAGATTTTATATTTCTTTTATTTGTGAGCATTTTGTAAACTACAAAATTAAATTCAAACATTTATATTAAGGCCTGGGTTATGTTGCCTTGTTAAGTTTTCATTCTCAAGCAGTAAACAGAGGTCTTCCTTTGAAATCAATAAAAGCACAAACTAAACCATTGTTGCCTTGTGCTTAGTTTGTCCATATTGTGGTATATAAATACTTGCAACTTTTCAAGGTCAATTAAATTTTCAGTGCTATATTATCGCTATGCCAATTTACATATGAATCCTCCCACAGCATTTCTTCTTACCCTATCTGCAGTACATTTCTCCAGCGAGCTCCAAGTGAAGTCAACATTTCAACCTTTGATTGTATGCAGGTAGTCCTGCAGGTACTGGGCATCCTGTGCCCTCTTTCCAAAAGACATTCCATGCATCAGAAACTTAGTCTTGTTCAGTAGTCTCTAAAGCTAGACAGAGTGTCTCATGCTTTTGTGAGCTGGATCAGTTCCCATGTGCTGTGTGGGGCACACAGATCACTATCACTTGTTTTCTTACTGTAGGACAAACTGCAAACCAACAGCATCACGAATCTGTAGTACTAAAAGTGATAGACCATTTGTGTGGGTATAGTGGTCTGGACCATGACTGTTTTTATTTGAAAAGGAAACATCCACAAATTCTGTGCAGTTACTATTAAACTGTCTTTGGGGAGATAAGACTTCTCTGAGCTTCTGAGATAGAGGGTGACCTGGTGGATAGAAGAAATCATGCTCTCATTTCTAAGCAAGCAGTGAAAACCATGCAGTACCAGTAAGAATGATTCCCATTAGATACAGAACAGAAAGTACAATATAGGTGATTTTGTTTCATTGTCAAATTAAGAACTGTTTTTCAATATTACCATTTCTGTTACTTTTCCTATTTATTTTATAACTTTTAATAAATATGTTAATATCCATGTATAAAGAAATCAACATGATTTAGTAAATAGAAATAGAAAAAAAATTAATTGGGCCGTCGTTGACCATTTATATGAAATTACATTATCTGTGTTTATCATACAGTCCTAATGATTGCAGAAAATAACCTAGCAGCAATGAAATATTGCATTTCTCGGCTTTAATATTTTAGAAATTACTTCATATTTAGTAATATAATGGACTAAATTGTTGTGGGGTTTTTTTTCCAAATTTGACCTTATTGCTTTAAATGATGTAAAAAGAAATTGTTTTCTGAATCTGCCTAGCAACAAAAGATGCTTTCTCTCCCTCTAGTGGAAGATAATAAAATAGCTTTCTTTACGTTTTTGCATGTGTAAACCATCAAATAATATCAGAGGTCTAAAGCTTTTGTGAAGAAGAAAATATCATGGTTTGTGTTTAATGTAGAACATAAATGTTTTATGACTAGCAATGTAATAAGAGGTATTTTCATATTAATATTTTTCTGCAAGTGCACTGTTTTAAAATTGATCCTTAGTGATATGAATTGTAAATATTTACAGATACCTAGACACATTTTAAAATAACAATAAAGGCGCAGCAGTTAAGAGGAAAAATAATTCCTAATCTCAAAAGTAAAACACAGTGTGATTAATGTTGAACACAGGAGCAGCTTGCATGTGATCCTCATATTCCCATATTGATCCTCAGTTTAAAAAGCATGTGTGTAAACGATAAACTTCTTATTTTAATCCAAATGTTTTCAGAATTTGTGGTGTTCATCTGAAGGAGGAGACTGCCACAGTAATTGCATGCAATGTGCATCCCTCTCTTTTTCAAAATTAGATGTTACAATCTACGGTTTTGTTTCAGTCTCCTAATAAGTATATTTTTAAAGAACAACATAAACATCTTCCAGGCACTTAGTATTCATTGTAAGTGCAAACTGCATAAGTAATGATCTACAGGACTAAGTCCATAATTAGGATAGTAGAAAATACTTCTTATGTATTACTGATTAAACAAGATGTACCTATAATTACTCTACTTCTAGCTTCCAAAATAAAAGACCATTGTCTCTTGGCTAGATTCCTGTTACTGTTTTCACTGGAAAGGTTCTTTTCTTATTCTGCTCCTGAGCTACTTTTTAGCATATTTTTATTTTTTGTGTTTTTATTATCTCACTTTCTCTCTCAGTATTTTTATTTTGCTTCCTTGTTGCTGTGCAAAACTTCACACAAGCAGGTGCAGAAGCTGTTAGTCCAAGCAAATCTGAAAGACAATACACATGCAGGTAACTTGACAGTCTTCTTGCTTTTAGGGAGAGGGGCCTTCTGCACCTACAAGTCACTGCCTTGGCACTGTATGTCACTGTGAGCATTTTAGTTGTTAGTTTGATTTTGTGTATTTGTTGTTCTTACAAAGTCCTGAAAGTGTAACAAAGCTACTTAACAAGAAGTGGTGGGTGACAGTTCTGGGTTGCCACTGTCTCACTCAAGTACCAGCAGAAAGTGGATCTCTTAGCAAGGAGGAAAATCTTTTATTATCTTGTATGGGGGACTAACTCCAAGGGCAGTGGTGCAACGAGTCACTCAAGTTGTAATTGCTCTAAGTAGCACAGAAGCTGAAAGAATTGGGTGAAACAGTATGTGAAGAGATGATACGGAAGAGATGGTGGAATGCTCCAAAATTGCCAATATGGCCTCCTGACTAGGTGTACTTGAAAATCTCCTCCATCATGCAGAGTAGAGGTAGTGGAGGGACAGAGGTATGTAAGAGATGGTGCTTTTCTGGCTGCCACGGCAGCTCTGCACTTCTGTCCGGATAGAGAGAGATAGGCTGGTGTAAACGTATCCCAGGCTCTGGAATTTGGCATACTATTTACAGCTTGGTTAGTTTGTGCGGTGTTTTAGGGAGGGTGACAGAGAACAAAAAGCAGAGGCACAAAGTATGAAAGGGACATTTGTCCACTCACTGTCCATATTATCAAATGGGGAGAGAGAAGTAACATTGCTGGCCAGGATAAAGTTGTAATGTCATCACACACACCAGCCTGTGTTAGTTGTTTGTTTTCCCAAATGCTGTATTCCGTTCCCTTTAGAGTAGTAAGAATGTAATAAAGATTATTATTTGAGAGAGAGAGCATCGGCTCCTGGGGCATTCAAAGTCAGTTAACTTTTCCCTGGTTTCAAAATGGAGTCTCGAGCTCGAGTGGTGGGTAGTTGCCAAAGGACCTGGCAGAGGTTTGGAGATGCCCTTTCTGCTGCTGCAACCACGACAGCTGTAGTGGCACCAAACACACAAAATTAAAAAGAAAAAAAAAAAAAATTAAATGGTCTCCAATTTAAATCAGTTGATCATCTGTAGAGTTGCATTAATAGGGAATGTAAATACAATTTTAATGTAACTTTATTTATCTGTTAAGAAAGGAAATGATTGTTAACCTTTACAGGTTTCATTTTGGAAGTCAATTTTGTTCATGTTCTTAAATGTTTTTTCACCCAATTAAGGGGTTCCTAACTTTCAGACAATGATTACTTCAGCCTCTTAGTGTTTTCAGGTGTACTGTCTTTTAAGATTAAATAGTGTAGACCCAATTCTCAATATTTTCTTTAAAAAGCACATGCTTTATTTAGCTCATTTTGTTGCTGACCTGACAGTTCCCCGAGTTTGTATTTTTTAATTTATTTTTTAACAGAAATGTATCGAGACTGTAATGAGACACTATAATTAGTATTAATGAGGCTTCCTGGTATGAACAGTCACCACAGCATTTTACGGTCCCTAAAAATAACAGGGCCCCCGGCACCCATGTGGCAGCACTGCTCCCCTGAAGGGCTCGCTGCTGGCGGCGGCGGTTTCCCCTCGTGGTTGGGGTGCCGAGGGAGGGCTGCCCCGCAGCTGCCCCGCCGCCCCCCGCCGCCCCCCGCCGCCGCCACCGGCCCCCGCGCCCCTCACGCCTCACGGCGCGGAACGAACGGCGCCCGCCCTGGCGCCCGCCGGCCCGCCCGCCCGCCAGGGGGCGCTGTTGGCGCAGCCCGCCTGGGTGCCGGGGCCGCGGGGCCTCGTGGGGCCTGGCGGCGCGGCGCGGCGCGGGGCGGGGCGGGCGCTGGCGCGGGGTGCAGAGCCGCGGGGCCCTGCGTCAGGGGAGCCTGGCAGCGCGGGGGCTCCCTCGGTTTGGTGAGAGGCAGGACGTGGCACATCGTTCCCCTTGTGTTGTCACGGATAGAAACGGCGGCTCGGTAAGGTCCGTCACGTGCAGGTGTGACATAACAGACTCTTGGATCGGGAGCGAACCGGGGCTAATACCAGTTAAATCACACCACGTCACACGGGAATCAGACACGTTGTGGTTTCTGAAAATGTTTTATTGCTTGGTAAGGATACACTCATTTATTTTAACCAAAATCCATGGGAAAATGTTGCTACTTTGGATGTAGCAAAATAGATTTACATATATTTTAATTCCTACATTAATTTATCTTGCAGTGTTGCCAGATTATTGACATTTTGACAGGTGGTTTAAATAAGGCCATTATAGGAAAAGGGGGCTTATTATTCAACAAATAATTAGTCTGTATCCCTGGAATTATATAAAAGTTTGTTGCACTAAGTAACAGCTGTTAATGCTTGTTGAGTATCTTTAGTATGCACAATTCATAGTGCTTTGCAAATCATTATAAACATTATATTGTTTCACAAACAATGCCATTTACGTCACAGAGAAGCCAAGAGACAGAGCAGACTGCTGAGAAAACTGGAAATAATGAGCTTGTCCTCTGACCCCATTTTGACGATTCTTTGACCCAAAAAGCGGGTAGTGCTTGATAGGCGGGCAAGGCTGATAATCCCAAACCTCTAAGGTTACAAATCGCATGCAGTAAACCTTAGAATCTCTGGTGTTCGCATCAGGCTCAGAAAATTATCCATAGTTTCAATATTTATTGAAATACATCTGACAACTGTTATAAGGGAATGTTCCTTGCTGTCAGCTGCAGTATTCTCAGAGTATAGAATATAATACAGAAAGTGTAAGTCTGACCTCTGTGTTAAACTACCCTGGCCTTTTTCTTTGCAGTTCTGGGCGGGTGAGGAAACTTCTGAATCTCACCATTGACCTTATCCTTACTTCTTGAGAAAAAATGTTGTGGACTAACTAGTCCTACTAAATGATGAAGTCTTCATTTTCCATAGTTACAGCAGCTTTACAGAACCAAATCTAATCTTACTCTGTCAATAGCCAACTGCAAACCTTCGTTACCTTTTGTAGAGTTAGCATCAAGTCCCTTGGCCTGATTCCACCAGAGAGCTCCAGGAAGTTTTAGATAACTGGTCTCACGATATCATTTGTCAGACCAAGGTTTTGACTTACACAAGATCAGAAGGGAGAACAGTCAGTACCCGACTGCCAAGTCATGGTTTCAGTGGGAGAGAAGGGTTTCACAGGGAAAGAAAACTGTTACAAAATCTTTCAGATGTTAAATTATTTGAACTAATTCCACCCTCACTTTAATTCACCACTTATTAATGTTCTGTTAGAAGAAAAAAAAATTCCCACCCATTAAAAAAAATGTTTTATAAAATACTTTATTTATAGTAAATAATGGAATACCTTGGAAGGAAGCCTGGATTCTGTAAATGTATGTTGTCCCAAAATGGGGATTTGTCACACGGTATGCAGACACCCAAGTCACACACAGGATGGAGGTATTTTCCTCTATTATGTGAAGGCACGTGCACGGGTGCCTGTCCCAAGGCAGCAGCCCGTGGTCCCAAAACCTATGATTATTTATACACACAATTTTTACATATTCAGTACACCAATACATATGTATTAATATTCTACTAAGTGATTGGTCATAATCTCTTCGTTTAGCATGTAAATTAGGACACATGCCTAGTTTGCCCCCTCCACCTTGTTTGTTTGAGTCTGGGTGTGATCAGAATCAGTGATCGAAGAGTCGGTGGTTGTCATCTCTCTGTGCCAGAATTACCTTTTACCTAGTCTCCTCCTAATTTGGCGGTCATAGGCAGTTTGTCACAGTTCATTGTCTGTACTTCCCATTAATCCTACCTAGGCTTCTGCTTCTTTTCATGCATATACTAACAGATTGTTTCAAGGTTAATCATTTGTTTCTACCATTATCCTAACAACTAATCATTTGGTTCTACCGTGTTCCTAACAAAGCTGACCTCTGACCTTTTGACATTCCTTTTGATAATCCGACGTGTACACTGAGTATGAAAATTGCCAGTAAGTCTTTATATATAGAGTCTCATGAAAGACATAGGTTTCATTATTGGCTATTACTTAGGAGCAAGTCCGTAAGAAAATAACACATACAACACTAATCCTGCAATGAGCATATCTGGGGCCTAAACCATACAGAATACTGTTCTGGATTTTTTTTTTCCCCCCTTATGTTTAGAGCTATATTTGCATTTCAAATTGCTGCGTATTTTAACTCTCCTGTTTGTTTTAGTAGTCTTATGTCCATCTGCTGAATTCCTTCTGAACTCTGGCCTCTTTAAGATGTTTCAAATTTGAGGCCTAAAAATTGAGATGCTAATGACTTCTGATACTTCAATAGCAGGATAGTGTGTTGTATTGTTAAATGTATCTTGGTTTATGTATTTCTTAGTTCAGTTAATAACTTATTTATTTACAGTTAGCTGGAGTGGCCTGCAGTCGCTCCACTGAAGTCTCTGGGTGTTTTTTAGCTTTGACACTGGCATGAGCCTGGCTGTTCTCTAATCTAGAGGCGATGCAGCTGGTTTTTACCAGACTTAGCTGGCTATGATATTAGTCAGAACAATGAGGAGGCAGAAGCAAATCTAAAATTGACGCTTTAAGGATCTGACTCATTCAGTTTTTGGCACAAGGAGGTGCAAATTGCGCTTCCTGAGTTTGCAGCACACCTAACAAACCTCAATTACAGCACACCCCAAATGCACTATGCTATGAAAAGGCCTGCTCACTGCCTCAGTGGATACCCATATAATTTGCATGTTGTTGCTCCTCATTGCTAATTTAATGTTGGTAACGGCTACTTGCAGGATGTTTGCTGAAAGAAGGTTTCGTGTTTTTGCAATTCTCCTTACTGGTTTTGCAGTCTTTGCTCACTGTCACCCAGAGGGGACAGCTTGTAGTAACAGTCAGTTGGACACTAACTCGCTCTCTGCCTTTTCCATTTGATATTGATAGGCGGAATACTAATAATTGCAGTGCCACTCATGGTGGTAATAAGCAGCGTATTGCCTGGTGTTTTTTTTTTCTCAGAAATAGCAATAAACTTGCTTCTCAGATGTGTTCCATCTGTTCCATCGCCCAGAATAATTTTATGACCCCAATTCCATATATTTATATTAAAAAAAAAAAAATCCCAAAGCTGGCAAGTGTGCTGAGATCTTGCTGAAAGCATGTTGCAGCCCCTTTCAAGTCACAAGCCCTGTCTGAGAAATACCAGCAAAATGTAGTGTGTTGTAGTAATGTAACTCAGATTTAGCAGATGCAGATAAACACAAGGTATGCTCAGCATAGGGAACCATTAAAAGGAAATGATGTCTGCAAATCTGTGGTGGCTAGAGCAAAAGAGGAGCTTTTGAGAGCAAGTCAGAGAAGATGGCAGACATGTTTTAGCCAGTGCCCTTGTCATTGCACAAAATGCTCTGGTATGAGTACTCCTGCTTGCTGCTGTTTCCTACACAGGATGCCAGCTTGCAGCTGGTACTGAACACGAACAAAGCAAAGCATGCTCCAGCCAACTTTTTAGGACTTTCATAGATGTCTACTTTGAGGGAGAGGCTATTGTCATTCTAAGGCTTGCAAACATAATTTGGATTAAATATATGGAGGCTTTGTGGTTGTCTCACTCACATTTCCCAGGCCACTTAGGTTTTTCTTCCACAGTTAAAATTCACCATGTACATTTGAAAGTCTTAAAAGTGATGAAGAGAGTCCCAGGATGGAATTTTCCTTAAAGGTGAGTTAATTTTTCAGTGATACTGTTATTTATATATATATTTATTTTTACAGCACTTAGAAGATGCTTTCTGGAATCTCCCTGGACAAATGGAAGGCCATAGTACTCCATAAAAACAGCAGTGATCCAATCTCAGATGCAGAACTGAGTAATAAGCAGTGAGAATGAGTAGTGCTGCTGCAGAAGGTATGCTTGCTCAATCACGCCTTTCATCTTGCTTATCTATACTTACCTTACTGAGTGCCATGATCTTGTAAGAATCACTCAACCAGTTTCCCATGGGCTATTATTTTCCCTATTCCTTCTTATATTACTTTTAACATTCTCTTATTTAAGAGGACTTATTTCTAAAATGTTTTTATGCATTTCTTAGAAAATTTTGAAACAGCTTTGAAGGCTGGTCTTTGAGCTGTTTAAGCTGGCTGAAGAGACAGGTGAGGTGAACTACATGCAATTAAATAGCTTATATAATTCATGCTGTAAGAAAATACCAAAAGCACTTTTTTTTTTTTTCTTCTACCTGGGTGCACGAAGGAGTTTTGTGAAATTTTCAGAGAGGAATCCTAGAAAACATTTTGGGAACCCAAAGGCTATTGACAGAGTGATAGAATGTCCTACCCTAATAACAAAAAAAATATCGGACAATGGGTATATTTGTTCCATTTTCTGTGAAAGAGAATCAGAGCAGCTCAGTTGTATATAATATGCCATAGGCTATTAACAGGTATTCTCCTTAACACAACTGATTAAATAGGATTACATTCTAAGTAAGAGGATCTGAGTTTTGTTACTTCTTCTGTTTCTATAAAATTTCAGACAACCACAGTAAATCTATGATAGATGTGAGGTTATTGTATTTACTACTATATTTGTATCTCCTCCTATTGCTGTTTTGGTTGAGTCTGTGATGGCATAAAAACATTGTAAATGCCTAGAGAAAGACTCATGTTCTAAATACATAAAGAGATCCTAGACATTCTAGGGTTTAAAGTAACTTCTTTATTTTAGCTTCTTTTTTAATTTCTTTTGCTGCTCTTTTACAATGAGCAGTATTTTAACAACATGGAAAAGGAAACAGAAGCATGAACTACTCCAGTTTAAACAGAGACAAAATACAACGTAGGCTAACTTTTTTGAAAGTACAATCAAATTACGTAATTTTGCTTTAATTATCAGGTATTGATAGGCATGAGTGTACTGTTGAAATGGATATTATCTCTTTTTTTTTAAAGTCATATTTTCCAAATAAAAGCCTGAATATTCTTTACATGAAACTCTTTAACAGTAAAGGGATGAGTTTAAGACTACAGTTAGTGTGACACTGAAAGATTAAAACTGTACCCAGTAGCCTAAACTTCAGAAGAATGGGAATGCACCAGATTATTCTTCTTAGTATTAAGAAAAACTGTTTCTGGAAAATGTACTTTTATATTTAAACCCTGCAGGATATATTTGAAAATTACTTTTGATATTTTTCAGTGAGTCAGCTCCCTAAGATTTGACGACATACATGTCTTTAAATATTGCCTTAGTAGGTTCAAACTTATCAAGTTTCCCTAATTCTGAATTATTTTTAGATCATCCTTACAATTTAAGTTCACTGTGTTCCTATACTCTTTTTGTATTGTGAAACTTCTCCAAATGACATTCCTAAATTTCAAAATAGATTATTGGTACAAATCCAAAAATCCTTTTGAATGTGTCCCATCTTCTTAACTTTTTACCTGTAATTAACATTTTTTCTCATGAGTCTGAATGAAAGTGGGACACAAACTAGAAATCAGTTGGCATCAGTTCCCACACTTCCATCTTGATCCAGTCCTGTCCCATTGAAACCAGTAGTACCCTTTTGCTTCAGTGGAAGACAGCCCATTATTTTAGCAGGAATTTTACATTATTTTCTGGCATCATGTACTTCGGTCTCTGGTAATTTTTTATGTCTAAGGACAGTAAAGAAATCAGAAGGTCTCCTTCCAGGCATCTAGGTTTCCTTCATTCTTAGTTATGATGAGGATTACTGTGGTCCTAGGCAAGAGGAAACAAAAAATCAGAGATCGGGAGTTTAAATGATAAATAATAGACCATTCTGGGTACATATATAATAGTTCTGAGAGGAAATATGTCATCAAGTCTAAGTAATTAAGGCACTTCTGCACTGTAGAGAGATGATTGTCTAAATAATGTGGTTGTATTAGTCCTGTATTGAAACAAGACGTTCCTGCTAGTGTGTTGTTACTATTTCACATAGGTGGCAGAGAAGCCTATATATTGCAAATGTGGATAGTTTTTTCAGAACAGAATTTGATTCAGTCATCTTTATGACATTACAGTTTAGAAATACCTTACATCAAAATCAGTGTGACCTGTTCACAAATGATGCATTTTAGCATCTCACATTGTAATCCACATTTTTTCTTGTTTGAAATCTGTCCCATATTAGGATTACAATTAGGCCAGAATCAGAGCTGTTCATTCAGTCTCCTAACAGGGGCTTCCAGCACCTTTTAGAACACCCTGACTCGCCTAAGACATCCATATGAGGCTGTCAGGATAAGGAGACCCATGTTCTTCTGGAGCACAATGTGATTGAAAAGTGGGACACTGTATAGCTGCCTGATTTTAGGTAGGTGAAATCCCCTCCGTACTGTTAGCAGACAGTCTAGAGTCAGTACTGTCACAACTACCACCACTGTTGAAAGGGGAGCTACTTCTCATGTCATACAGCAGCATCACTGACCACAGGAAGGATCACACAGACTCCTTAGATACAGACACTTCACCGTGATACTGGCTAAGCAGTTAGTGATTACTAGGTCTTGAATGTCAGATTGGCCTGCCCCTCTTGAGAGGGTGAAGTTTCTTTCTGCTGGGAATGTACTCTTTTTGATTTGCATTACCACTTCAGCAGCTAAGTATAGAAGTGAAGTATAAATCTTTTTATTTCCACCATGACCAAACATCAATTTCAGATTTTGAGTTGTTCATATTGTGAAAAGTTTGCAAAAATACTTAGTCAAAATTAGTGTGGAGTTTTGAAAGTCAGTAGACATAGCAATTATAAAAGATAGTATAAAGCAGGTTAGAATGGTAACCTGCTTTTAATTTCCTTTAAATCTTTCCTAATTTATTTGTCAGTGTAATGACGTTAGTAGTGCCTGAAATAATACAAGTCACATATATCATGGATTTATTATTTTGCATGTCCCAAAATGGGAGAGCTTTATGGATAGTCTAATTAAAAACTCCAAGTGAAATCTTTAATGCTTTTAAAATGAAGCTTTAGCTTCATGTATAAACATTGCTGATGCACAAACAGCTTTCATATCCTATAAAATTCAGTCTTAACATTTTTTAAGCTTTTATAATATTGGAAAACCTGCAAGATGAAGACTTCTGTTCTATACTAGGAAACTCCTTCCAACTATGGCAGAGGGCTACAGAAAATTTCCTAGAAAAACAGAAATACTCCTAGAAAAAAATTCCTAGAATATACTAGAAATGTATCAGTGTGGCATTGAATGATACGCAATGTAGACCTTACAAGATGTCCTGGAATTGTTATGGTGAAGCCCATGAAGTGTTAGAGAAACTGCTAAATTAGGGTAATATATATCTCAGTGTCTGCCAGGATGATCCCTACACTGCTTTTGGTTATTTTGACAGTTGAATAGTCTACCAAATGAGAACAGCTCAAAGGTGGCTTAAAACTTCGGCATCTCAGAAATCCTGCTTCTTCAAGCCAGACAAGTAGAACCTGTGGGGCTTTGTTTTAGTATTTCTTATCCACACGTAATTACTATTAAGCCAATATAGTCACACTAGCGTAAAGCCAGTCCAATCTAAATAAGAGCAATAGACAGTGATTTCCTTTGTGGCAGATGAAAACAAAACCGTGTTTCCATCCCAGTGCCTCAACTCTCAAGTTTCCACTGAAAATCCTGGGGAAGCTCTGATATGCTGAAGTCTCTCCTATCCCAGACCATGCACTTAATCTTGCATTTTATAAACAACAAAAAAAAAATCACTTTTGCAAAGTGCATATATGCCATATATGATAGATTAACACAGTCTATGAATTTCTAATCATACAAGTAGTATAAGGGCATGTAGTGCATGGAAGTTTTGCTGTAACGTGATAATGCTGAGTGTCTGTATTGAATCAGTTTGTACTGTTCACGAAAGATTCACTGAGGTAAGACACATTGATACTGGTCATTCACTGTTAAAGATCCTTCTGATTTTGCAGACTACCTCCTGATAACCATTTTACATCTAAGCACAGACCTGAGGTTCCTGTTAAATCCCAACTAGGAACACTGTAGACAGCGTGGAGCTGCTGCCCACACTGGGTGCAAAGCCATGCTTGAATGTGTTGTGGGTAAAGACTTACATGAACGGGCCCCTTGACTCCAAGAGCTGTGAAGATTCATAAAGTGAAATTTTACAATATGCCAGCATACTGATCTAAATCAGCATACAGATCTAAACTGCAAATAAGACCCTTAAGCTACCGTTTCCTTTTGCCCATGCATAGGAAATGACCAACTGGTAGATGAATGACTAAGCAAAGCATTAGTTATTTATGCACACATAAAGTTTACTTTCTAGGGCCCCTGACAACCACAGGAGACAGTGGTTTAATTTTACTGTGTCTGTTCTGCATATTCCAGCAAAAACAATAGCAGTTTTCTGCTTATTTAGTGTATACTTTGAATGAGTTCATCCTTCTACACAATAAGTGAAAGATAGAGTGCCTACTCTGTATATATAAATATATATACACACACACATATATATATATTTTTATGGCTGAAGTATCTAAACATTTCGCTTGCTAAACAAATTATACTGGGACACCAGGAGACTGATTTGTGACATTTAAAAATAGCTTGATGCCAGTATTGACACTGTTGAACTGAAGCTGTTTGACTGCACGGAGCCCCAGTAAAAATGGAAGCTGGCCTGTGTGGAGTAGTTTGAAGCTTTGGAGCTGTGATTCTGAAGTGAGGCATTAGTGTTAACAGGTTGACAGGAAGAGGTGACTCTGCCTCCTGTGAGGGAAGCTACGGTTGGTGACCACTGCTTTCCCTTTTGCTTAAATAAAATAAAACGTGTTAATGTTTCTGTTTTTGCGAAAAGCAACTACACATGCAATGTCTGTTCCTGATGTATTAATCAAAATAAACTTCCTATACTCTCTAGTTTTCCCAAAAATTTGTGCACATGTAGATCATTTTAAAGCTGGCTTACCTCTTCTCCATGTGCTCAAAGGCCACATCTGTCTATGGAGACTATATGTCATTTTCTTGAACCATTCAGACTCAGTAAGGAGGTGCTGACTATACCCCATTCATATACTGACTGTATTCAGAAGGATTCTTGAAGATAACTATATGTAAATTGTGTAAAATCTAGCTATACAGTTTTGTCAAGTCAGAAACTATAGGTAGTACCTGTGTTTATGGCTTACTGTTATATAACAACCAACCGCAGGCTGGTCTTAGATCTAATAAAAATTAGGCCACGTTTTTCCCAGAAGCAGCCATCTTAGTTTGGAAACCTGCTTGTCTGTAGTAAGACTGTGGCTAACAGTTGAGTGACAGCCATGAACAAAATGAAAGCTTGCATGAAAATTATTATATGACTTCTGAAAGCAGGACTTACGCTCTAAAGTTACCTAACTGCTTTGGAAATGCTTAACCTATAGTATTTGTGTACATACATACCTCCTTAACTGTTGGTCACACAGAAAAAAACTGAGACTCCTCAGATCATTTACAGTATCCTCCTTGCCTCTGAAATATCTTTTTTTGTGTGCTTGTCTCTGTTCTCAAGTATTAAATTCATCCTTCTCAGCCATGTGTACTTTGGTTAAATGCAGAGAGCATGTATTAGGGATGCCTGAAAATCAAACACAAAATAAATTACAAGTTTTCTTAAGGAAACCCCACATTTAAGACTACATTTAAAAGATTCTGCATTTAAATAAAATTAAGAAAATATTTGAGGTTGGGGAGGAATTCATATATCAGAAATACAAGATCCTGAGACAGCTAAACTTCAGTGGAGGACCGATGCTTACAATAGAATAGCTACAAAGACTTGGTGCACATAACGTTTATATTTATGTAATTTTTATATATGGAGCTTTTTTAAGTTGGTAAGTAAAGTCAATTGCTAGTGATAATTGGCAAAGACAGTTTGTCTTTAAATGAAAAATAACGTCCTGCTGACTAAAATTTTATCTCAAATACTGTTCAGAACGGTCATCTTGTTTGGATATTTGAAAGCAAACATTCAGAGCAGATTATGGCATACTAAATGCCAGATGGATACTGTCATGAATGTACCTTATTTTTCTCGTAAATGTAGTACTTGTAAAAGATTCTGGAGTCATGCTTTTGGAGGCTGAAGTATTTTAGCCATTAGGGTTGTTATATTGCGAGTTTATTTCCCTGCACTACCCAGCTGCCAATTGAGGGACCATCAAGAAGGCTCAGTGAGCAGCTTATTCTCTTTATTTGTTTTTTACTTGCTTTACCCTATGAAATACCATCAAATTAATCAATGTATCTGTCAAAAAATGGTGCTTTTTATGATGAGGATACTTTTCATTTCCATGCTTTCTGTATTCATCTTTCTGCTAAATGGCCATCAAAAGGAGACAGTTAAGGATATGCTTTACAGGTTCTGGTATAATTTTCTTTCAGCCATGAAAACCAGTATGTCACATGTAAAGGTTACAGTAAAATCAGCTAACAAACGTGTGCAGACAAAGTACTCTTATTGTGAATAGCTGCTGTGTTTGTTGTGGGGAAAAATTGCATCAAGCTCACTGTACAAATTATTATACCTTTGGATTTTTTGTTGGTTATCTTTTTTTTTACAGGACCTGGAATCTGACTTTAAAGAACATGAACATGCTCAGTATCACTGCATATAGAAAATATAGTAAAAACCATCCCTTTATACAGTTGATTTCATTTTTATTACTTCAGTTAGATTTCTAATAAGATAGTTTGAAAATGCTTTTAAAGGCAGAAAGAAATTTGGTATTTTCTCTTGTGCCATCATCTCCTCTGTTGTTCTGTCTTCTGTGACCTTGGTGCCGTCTGTTATACAGTACAAGTACTTGATACGAGAACTCCACCATTTGTAATCTGGATGATTTTTGGAGTACAATGAGCAATTGGTAGAAGAACTCTTACTTTGATGACACTTAACCAGTGTCCTGCTGCATATTCTGGCCTTTGCAGTATTTTACCACTGGTGCACTCAGTGAAACACCAAGTCATCATTTGTGTCTGGATTGTAACAAAGCTTAAAGCTATTTGCCTATTACTAATAGAAGGCATAAAAGAAAGACCGGAAGATATATTCAAAACAGAACCTCCTTGGCCAACTGTGCTTGGAGCTACTTTTGCCAGGACAGCTGGAATTGTTTTAATTGTAGTTCTTATAATCATCATTGTGATTAGCTACTGCCTCTTCTGCAGAGGAGGAAAACATGATGGCCATTTAAATAGCTCAAATAAAAAGACCAGAAAAACTGTCATTATTCATGGACTGCAAATGAGTTTGCATCTTCTGCTACTTCTGATAACAGCTGTTGGAAGACACCCTGATAACACTATTTTACATTTATCAGCTTTTCTTGTTTTGTTGTTTGCACTATGCTTTAACCCTGTGGTTTATGGTCAGCGAAACATAGAGCTGCAAACCAAGCTGTTCAACAGGCAAAGACTTTGTGCACTCACCACACGGCAAACAGTAATGACACAGCAGCTATTTAGTTTACTGAGTTAGGTGACTGATCTAGGTGTAAAACTCTAGCTCTTCCACCTCCTAAGAAAGTATGATCATCAGCACTGTAAAATAAAGAAGCAAGCCATGAATGCTCCTGCATAAAGTGTTTTCATGACACTGGCTGGAACTTAAAGGAAGTTGAACTGTTTGACTTGAACAATTTGTGTATCCTTGTTATTATGACCATACTACTATAAAGCTTACTATGAAACAAGATCAAGGAGAAGACTGAGTATGGGTTGGCATGTGAAAATGCTACAACTTTGCCAAAGGAGGTCTAAAACAGGATTTATTTTGAAAGAAATTAAAACCTACTTTCATTTGGCTGTAGTAAAAATGATGATTATAGAGAATATAGTAGAGTCCAGCTGCAAGTAACTATTGTTAGATAGGAAGATAAAAGCAGTAAAGTTGGGGTCACAGCCTTTCCAAATGCAAAATCAACTTGCAGAATCAAGTGTCAAAATTGGTTTTAGTATTTGAAAAGATGTACACTATTTTGTCTTCACATTTACAACAATGAAGTCTTATTAAGTCTTTAGTGAACTACCCTTTTTTTGCAAATCTGTCCCTTTTACAGTTGAATTCTGAAATACATAAAAATTAGGAATACGAATCCTTTTTTGTTTGAAGCAATGACTTCTTGATCTAACAAGGCTGATACATTGTTCTTGTAGGATCTCTGAAAGTGCTGTACTTGAGGGAAGGATGTGTATTTTATACCTCTTGCTTCCCCACAGTCACTATATCACCTGGAAAGCCTAGAGGTTGCCTTTTGGAGTAAGGCAAAGATAATAAAGTCTTTGAGTTTTTATTTTTAAAGAGGCCACCTAGACTAGGTAGACTAATTTTTGCTGAATATTTTTCCGGCATTGCCAGCCCCAAGAAACTCATTCATGAGTATGTACATCAGAAAATTAATTGTCAGTTTTTAAATTATTATAAAACTAAAGGAAAGGAAATCTGGTGGGCACTTGCCTTTTAATGTTTAACCTTTTAGGCTATGCTTGCTTTTAGCTTTGATATACATCTGTGAAACTGAAAAATACTGTAAAATAAATAAATTTAAAAAGAAAAGCTAATATTCTTCCTAATAATAGGATGCCAGAATCCTATCCCGTGATGCTGTGATGAGGAAAAAAAGTTACACTGTACTTCAGGATAAAATTTCAGTAACTGCTGCATTACTGTGTGATTCACTACATATTTATATGCTTAACTTGTGACATTTAAATTTGAAAGCAGTGGCCTTGTGTATGTGATCTTCTGCAGATCTAACAACCAGATGAAAAAGAGAAGAAGAAAACTGCTTATTTAGCAGTGAGTTTAGACGAACCAATGAGATCCTCCACTGAAACCTAAAGTATGAAAAAAAAAAAGGAGGAAGTAGGAGTCCAACCACTTGCCAGTTTCTTCCGTGATCAGGCAGCAGATAAGCTGTTTTCAGCTCGGTGTTTATTTTAGCTTAATGTCATCCTAAGTACAGCACAGTTTGCAGAGGAACTGAAAACTAAAGCCAGCTGATAATGAGCTCTACTTTGCCGGTTGGAATGAGCCCTGAATTTTAGGTACGATGAGGGGAAAAAAGTTTCCTGCCTCACAGTATAGCATAAACAGAGGGAGTGGTATCCAAGTAATGACTTGGGGAAAAAAGTGGCCTGAGGTCTGTGTGTAAGCTGAGCCCTGCTTGGAGGCTGGTGCTGCCTGGTGCCTGGCCGGCACCTGCCTGGGGCTGCAGCCCGGTGCTGCTCACTGGTGCCCCCGTGCAGCCGCCACGCAGGGCCGTGGGCGCAGGGCTGTGGGCTGGGCTGCTCCGCCGAGCCTCTCGGGCTGCACTGGGACTGCGCTGTCCCCAGCGCTCGTTTAAACCTAGAGCTCAGTGAAGAAAACATCACAGGATGTCGGAAACGACAGATGAGCTCTGAACTGTACGTTCACACCTACTAAACAGGTCTTCCAGAGATAGACACGTTTCAGCATCACTGAAATGCCATGTTAAAATATGAAAACAAACTATATAATGATACCGTATGTCCATATTAACAATGGAAGTTGAGAATTATTTCAGACAGATACTAGAAAATAAAAATGTTGTTTTCAATTATTGGGGTTTTTTTTACCATAAATAAATTTAATTCCTGCTGCTTTTCTCATTTCATATTGTTATGCATGGTGGTAAAATGAGGCGGGAGGAGGTGAGAAGAATTGTGCTCTAGGGAGGTGGGAAAAGCCCAAGCTGATAGATGGAAAAAAGCGGTGTCTGTTTGAAGATTGGAGTAACACAGTATGAAGCGGTCCATTCTGAGTATCACTTAACTGCATTGCAAATACAGTACCAGATTTAGAATAACTGCAAATTGAAACCTGAATAGTGGTGGAAACTGTTATCTCTACAGAATTTTGGTAACATGAGTAGAGTGATCGATGGGGTCTCTCTTCTGAGTGTCTTGTTCGCAAGCTTGTCTTGTTGCCCTGGCAAAGAGTCTTTTATGTCCTAGATACCAGGAAGCAGTTCTCAGTTTTCCCTTTCTATGGCTTCTTTGGGGTTATAGGCCTAGGAGCAGATGGTACTAAGTTCAGCCACTAGTGCAGATTTAGGGTGGCTGCTACAACCATAATAATTTCAGTACCTTTTAAAGGCAGAGTTTGCAGTTAAATTAAATTCCAGTTGAGAAACCTTTAGGTAATACCAGATTTTTGCATAGTTTCATCATTAGTAACGTGATTATAGAACACAGGCTAAGGCAACCACAGACCTTTTCAAACAAGTATACTCAGCAAGTTATATTTAATAAGATGCTAAACATTCCAGAAGCATCAAATCCTTTTTTCCAATGGAGCTCGACCTCATGAAGGTAAAAGGTAATGCCAGTGGCATTTTTGTCAAGTAGGCAAAAGCTAATGAGGGATGTAACTAATTTCTGACTTTTTCTCCTTATCCCATATGAGAGTTCTAAAATTGCTACTTTTGCTTTGTTGCATTTTTATGTTTTAGCTATTTTGTCCCTGCTCTTCCTCTGCATTTGTCCGGACATTGGTCCATTTTGTAGCAGCAGAGAAGCTCAAATAGCAGAAGCAGCCAACCTTTTTTCCTG